ATCATCATCACCACCTCCATCATCATCACCATTATAACCATCACAACATTACCACCATGACTACAATGACCACCACCATCACCTCCATCACATCATCTGTCCATCATCATCATCACCATTATAACCATCACAACGTCACCACCATGACTATAATGACCACCACCATCACCTCCATCACATAACCACCTCCATCATCACCTCCATATCATCATCACCACCTCCATCATAATCACCATTATAACCATCATCACCATCACCTCCATCACATCACCACATCCATCATCACCTCCATCATCATCACCATTATAACCATCACAACATCACCACCATGACTATAATGACCACCACCAACATCACCTCCATCACCATCACCTCCATCATCACCATTATAACCATCATCACCATCACCTCCATCACATCACCACCTCCATCATCACCTCCATATCATCATCATCACCACCTCCATCATCATCACCATTATAACCATCACAACATTACCACCATGACTACAATGACCACCACCATCACCTCCATCACATCACCATTATAACCATCACATCACCACCATGACTATAATGACCACCATCAACCAACATCACCTCCATCACCATCACATCACCACATCCATCATCACCACCACCTCCATCATCATCACCATTATAACCATTACAACATCACCACCATGACTATAATGACCACCACCATCACCTCCATCACATCACCACCACCTCCATCATCACCTCCATATCATCATCATCACCTCCATCATCACCATTATAACCATCATCACCATCACCTCCATCACATCATCACATCCATCATCATCATCACCATTATAACCATTACATCACCACCATGACTATAATGACCACCAACATCACCACCATCATCACCTCCATCACCATCATCACCACCACCATCATCACCTCCATAACATCATCACCATTATAACCATCATCACCATCACCGTCACTATAATGATCACCACTCTCATCATCACCTCCATATCATCATCATCATCATCATCATCATCATCATCCACTGGAGAGAGGCATGAGAATGCACCCAGAGCCCGCCCTCTCCCTCAGTCCAGAGGTGCATCGTGGCCTCACCGTCACTTCCCAGTGAGCTGAGAGGTTAACAGTAACTAACTCTCAACAACAGGCCCTGAGAGATGGTGATCCTGATGGATTTCAAGCCTCACCTGCTCTGGGAGGAGGAAGCTGACTCAAACATGCAGTTGAGGGTGAGGAGTGTGGTGAGGGAGGCTGGATGGCCAGGCCTGAGGCTTGCCACTAAGCAGTGAGGGTCCAGGGAAGCGGTAATTATTGTCACCATTACTACCAGAGCCACCATGGCCCTAAACCTGGGCAGCCCCAGTCCCTCCTCAAGCTCAGCCCCTACTCACGTCATAACCAGAGTCTCATCCCCGGGCTCACTCAGCAGCCCGTCCACAAACACCGAGGTGCTGGTGAAGTTGTGGGTGCTCCAGGTGAGGCCCTCGTCCACACTGAACCTGTGAGACAGGGCACCAGGTGGACACTAGGCCCCCAGCTGCTCCCACCTGCTCGATCCACCAGCCGAGCCAGAGGCTGCTGCCCACTGCTGCAGCCAGGAGAGCAGGCTGTAGGGGTGCCTAGCCAATGGCTGCCCAGCGTCTGGGGCACAGGTGGGGCTTGAGAAGCCCTTATCCTTGTCCCCTGTCCTGGGCAGTGCTGCATCCGCTTACCAACGAGAGAATGCTCTCTGACCAGAACTGCAGGGCCATCAAGCCCTCAAGATGTACCCAGGTCAGACCCCACACCCCACTATGCAGAGGTCATGTGATCAGCCCACCCTCAGCAAGCACTTGCTGCCCTGCCCTTTCCCTGGTCTGGACCACACTGACCTCACCTCCAATGTATTAGTCATTTCTGTTCATGCCTGAAAGCTGTCTCTTCCGAGAAGCCCTCCCGACTGACCTGCCTGGGTCACCCTGCTGCACTGCCTGTAGTCACCCATCGCCCATGTGGGCAGCCTGAACACACTGAGGACCTTCCTTATCTCCCAGGGGTCCTGCGGGGTCTGTGGGGAACATTCTGGGGGTGTCCACCCCATGTGGGCAGCCTGAACACGTTGAGGACCTTCCTTATCTCCCAGGGGCCCTGCAGGGTCTGTGGGGAACATCCTGGGGGTGTCCACCCCATGTGGGCAGCCTGAACACGTTGAGGACCTTCCTTATCTCCCAGGGGTCCTGCGGGGTCTGTGGGGAACATCCTGGGGGTGCCCACCCCATGTGGGCAGCCTGAACACGTTGAGGACCTTCCTTATCTCCCAGGGGTCCTGCGGGGTCTGTGGGGAGCATCCCATGCAGGGGCCACCACACACAGGGAGCCTGGACTTGCTGAGAATCATCCCCATATCCAGAGGGCCCCGGAGGGTCTGGGGGAGCATCCTTGGGGTGCCCTCCACATGCAGGGAGCCTGAACTCGCTGGGAACCTTCTTCCCCATCTCCCAGGGACCCTGCAGGGTCTGAGGGGAACATCCCGGGCAGTCCCCAAAGGGCAGTGTCCACCGCATGCAGGGAGTCTGCACTCACTTGAGGACCTTCAGGGGGATGGAGGTGTCCTTGACGGCCACAATGACACCTCCATGGTCCAGGTACAGGATGTGGTGCTCCTCCTCGAACACCTGCAGGCAGATGGAGGGGTAGATGAACTGATGTGCCTGAGGTAGGGCTGGGGCCTCTGCAGGAGCTGGTCATCAAGGTGCAGGGCAGAGAAGGTTACAGGGCTGGACCCACGCTCTCCCAACCCACTCAACCCACCAGCAGACCTCGGCAGCTACTGAGCCACCAAAAATCCACAAAGATGGACAGCCACAAAGCAAAGCCTGGAGGATCCAGAGGGGGAAACAACAAGTGGAAAATGCCAGCTGCCCAGAGCAAGGCCATGGGGCTTCAAAAAGAACTGACCCAAAGACGGGAATTTAGAGGGAAGTCCTGCTTGACACGCAGACCGAGTGCAGAGACACCTCCTCCTGGAGGCCCTCCCTGATGCTTGGGCCAGACCCATGATATGTCTTGGCCTCCCCAAGCCCCTCGCAAGGGGATCCCTGTGTGGCTCTGTGCAGGGTGTAGTACTGGTGGGGCCTGGGGAGCGTGCATGGGAGCAATGAATGAGTGAATGAATGATTCCCAGGGGACCCATGGCCACTTGGAAAACAGCCCTGGGTGGTGCCAGGTGTTACAAGAGAGCAGAGCCCTGTCCTGTCACACCACCCTCACTGTCTGCCATGCTCACACCCACTGCTACAGCCACTGTGTCACCCCACCTGCTGATGGCCTCCTTCAATGACTCCTGCCCCAACTCCCCAAGTATGTTCTTCTCCTTGGGACTAGTCTGTCCTGATGACATGCTCAAAATACATGAGAAACGTTTCTCTACCCTGGCCTCTAAGAGAGGCTGGCTGCAGGTCCTCCAACAGAGGCCTGTCTGGCAGCCCAGGCAGTGCTCAGCGCTCTTGCCAACATCCAGCTCAGAGGCCTCCATTCTTCCTTATCCATGGTCCAACTGTGACAAGCACGTGAAGCAACTGAAATACCAAGGCTTGGGTCAGGCACACCTTAGTCTCTGGCAGTCTGAAGACATCCTCGCTCTCTGGCACTTTAGAGAGTTCCTGACAGCAGATCTGCTCTGTGCGAACTGCCTTTTCACTTTGTGACTGTTGACCCCATGGCTGTTGGCTGTGGATCCAAGAAAATGACAAGTTCAGCCTTTTTTCTAGGTTTTATTAGTTGTGAAGTTATTGTTTTATGTTGAGGTGTCACCAATTACCAATTATTAAGTATTTTCATCACATGTTCGACCAATCACAGACGGGAGGAGTCGTCGAAACCCCTCCTTTCTGTGTCCTGGCTTTGGTGGCTGCGTGTTTATCTGGACGTAGTCGTGTTAACAGGGCTTCCTGGATGCGCATGAGCACATCATCCTGCCACTGCCCACGTGATACTTCAGGCTAAACCTTGAAATGTTCTTTTGATGATGAATGCAGCCCCATTCTTCTTCAATTTGACGTTTCTGGCACAGTAGAGCAGATCTTTGTCTGCCAGACAATCCCAGCCGTTTCTGCTCAGACGCCTAGGATCTTGGTTCATCTTTGTTTCATCTCATTTTTTTTTTTACATCTTTCCATTTTCCTAGATTCATCATTGGTGCATGCCATGTTTAAATTATGAATGGACGTTTGCAGCTGTTTCTTCTTACTTTGAGTCCTGCCACATCCACAAATGAAGAGCCTTCACTGGGTGAAAACTCCATCAGCATCATGATAGTAAACTCTTCTCTGAATATTGCAGCAGAGCACCGAGACGCCAAGGCAGGGGAAGAAAACAGGAGGTTAAGGAGCTGGCCTGAAGATTTCAGAGGGCAGCTCAGGGAGACAAAGCAAAGTATTATAATAAAATGTGCAAAAGAGCTGGAGTTGGAAAATCAAAAGAGGTGAACTCACTCGGCATTTCTTGAGCTGAAAGAAACGAGGAACAATTCTGAGCTTTGAGCTGCGATACAGGATGCTGTGGGCAGAACACTGAGTCATCCAGGAAGCGTCAGAAGAAGATGGCAGGAGTACATATAGTCACTGTGCCAACAAGAACTGGTTGATACAAGAACTTCACGAAACAACGAATAACCAAGAGACAGTGGTGACAAAGGAGGAAGTTGAAGTTGTTCTCAAGGAATCGGCAAAAAACAGGGTGCTGGTAATTGATGGAATACCAACTGGCGTATTTCAGCAAAGAGATGCTGCCCTGGTTGTGCTCACCCAGCTGTGCCAAGAAATCTGGAGGACAGCCACCTGGCCAACTGACTGAAAGAGATCTGTATTTATTTCCAATCTAAGAACTGCGTGATCCAACAGAGTGTGGAAATTATTAAACAATATTCCCAATACCACATACAAGCAAAACCTTGTGGAAGATTATCCAAAAGAACAACAACAGAGAACCACCAGGAGTACAAGCTGGACTTAGAAGAGGCCGTGGCACTAGGGATATTATCGCCAATGTTAGATGGATCTTGACTGAAAGCAGAGAATACCGGAGGAATGTCTACCCTGTGTTTCACTGACTACATAAAAGCATTTGATTGTGTGATCACAATAAATTGTGGCTAACCTTGAGAAGAATGGGAATCTCAGAACACATGTTTGTGCTCATGCACAGCGAAGGACCCTGGTCCTCAGAGTGCTCAGTAAAGGGGGGACCTGGCTCCCCATGTGTCCAGTCTAGTAAAGGGGGCCCTGGCCCCACCTCTCCAGTGTAATAAGAGGACTCTGACTCCGCATGTGCTCAGTCTAATGAAGGGGGCCCTGGCTCCCTATCTGTCAGCTTGGTAAAGGGGGGCCCTGGCTCCCCACCTGTCCAGTCTACAAGGGGGCCTGGAGCCTGTGGACGGATGGTGACCTTTGGAAGCCTGGACATGCCTCACTCATCCAGCAGGTTAGAAAGTTACAGGGCGGGGGCTCTTGTGCCCTGTTCAGACCCCTTTCACTCTGCATATGAGTAGAAAACCTCAGGGCCAACTGAAGCTGTGGGCTGACTTGTGGCCTTTGGGCGTAAGCAGGGCCTCCCAGGGTCCTGGAGACAGCGGCTGTTGTGGGGAACTATGTCTGCAAACTTGACCTTCAGACAGAACTGTCCAGGCAGAGAAAGGCGTGTGTGTGGCGGGGAGGCACAGGGAGTGAAGTGCGGGGGAGAAGTGGGGTGGAGGCGTGGGAAGAAAATGCAGGGGGGAGGTGTGGAAGAGGGAGGCGTGGGGGAGAGGTACAGGGAAGTGGGGAGGCACGGGTGGTGGGGGAAGGTGCATGGAGGGCCAGCTGATCTCAAACACTCAAAGCAGGAATCTTCGCTTGACTCCAAAAGCTGGCCCTGTGGCTGAGGCCGTTTAAAACGTTTATCCCTTCTGGAAATAAGTAGGGTGAGCCGTGAGTGCTCTCTGCTGGGGTCTGAGCATGTGGCCTCCTGGCCCAGGGCTGTCTGTGCTGGGACCCCTCTGTCTAGACCCCACTGTGTCCAGTGCATGGCTAAGACCCCACTGAGGCTACTTGGAGCAGAAACAGACGTGGAGGGAGACGGCCATGGCCAGCATAAATGTGTCTGTGGGGCCACCCTCCTGCACCAGTCCCCAGTGTCCCCCAGAATCCCACCCTGACACACAGTGACCCCAAGCCCACTCCCCCAAAAATAATCACTTTATGAGGTCTATGCAATCCAGTCTCTCAGCAGCCCCAAGGAGCCCATCATGGGCCACCTCCTACTCCCCTGAGCCCCAAGGATTCCAGTCCAGCCTGGGACCTGCTGTGGCTTCCACCTGAACCCAGCCAGGGTGAGGGGTGCAGTCCCCTCTCTTCCACTTTCATGGGTTTCTCTCAATCAGCCTTCCTCAGAGACCCTCCCAGCTGGCAGGCAGTGGGGGTTCTCATCCATGGGGCGGGCGTGAGATCCCTGCAGGGCAGTAGGGCCTGCTCGCTCATGCATCTTACCTGTCGCCAGTTGCGTCCACAGTCAGCAGTGACGTACATTTCTTCCTTGTACCCCACCAGCTGGGAGCCCAGGTTCCCTGTTCCAGAGAGAGGGGGAGATGCCAGGCTGAGACCCTGAGCCTGTGGCCATGTGCAAGGAGCTGGCTTTGGGGACTCTGAGCCACAGGGGGACTGTCCCTCACTCCAGGTCCTCACTCTGGTGCTGCCCCCTCCCACAGAGCCCTTTACTGACGCCCCCTCTGTCCCCTCAAACGGACTGCTGCTCCGTCTCCCTTCACCCAGACCCCTAACAAGTGTGTGTCTGAGACCCCATCCTGGGGGGACCCCATCCCGGGTGACCCCAACCTGGGGGAGACCCCATCCCGGGGAGACCCCATCCTGGGGGGGCCCATCCTGGTCTCCACCCCTGACCAGCATGCTCACCCCACACACCCCGGCCCACCCTGCCCCTCTTCTACCTTCCTTCTCTCTTTTTCTGGCCCAGCAGCAGGTCAGCCACGCCCAGACATCCGAGCCCTCTGCCTGACAGCTGACCCCCTCGTGTCCTCCCTGGACCTGCCTCTGGCTCCCCCTTCTCCACGGGGAGATGAAGCTCGGTCCGCTACCCCTCAGCACAGAAGCTGCCCCTGCTCCTCCCTGCCCTCACACACCACAGTGATCACCAGCTGACCCTCGGCTCAGGGTCCACAACCACCAACAGGTGTGACCCGCAGCCCGGGGTCCACAACCACCCACAGCTGTGACCCGCAGCCCGGGGTCCACAACCACCCACAGGTGTGACCGCAGCCCGGGATCCACAACCACCAACAGGTGTGACCCGCAGCCCGGGGTCCACAACCACCCACAGGGGTGACCCGCAGCCTGGGGTCCACAACCACAACAGGTGTGACCTGCAACCTGGGGTTCACCACCACCAACAGGTGTGACCCGCAGCTCCCACCAGACCCGAAGGGTGTCCTTTTCCAGTCTCCCCTCCAACTCTACCAAAGACAGTGGGTAAAGCCTTATTCCAAGGCCACAGCTCGGAGTCTACAGAGTCCCTGTTGAAGATCTTGTGGGCTAAGCCTGAGGTAGGAAGAGGTCACTCCCATGTTGGTTCATTCTCATTTTACAGATGAAGAGATCATGCCCGGAGTGGACCTCTTACTGACAAGGAGACTGAGCCCAAAGTGGACCTCTTACAGACGAGGAGACTGTGTCCAGAGTGGACCTCTGACAGGAGACTGAGCCCAAAGTGGACCTCTTACAGATGAGAAGCCTGAGACCAGAGTGGACCTCTTCACAGACGAGGAGACTGTGTCCAGAGTGGACCTCTGACAGGAGACTGAGCCCAAAGTGGACCTCTTACAGATGAGAAGCCTGAGACCAGAGTGGACCTCTTCACAGACGAGGAGACTGTGTCCAGAGTGGACCTCTTCACAGATGAGGAGCCCGATCCCAGAGTGGACCTCTGACAGACGAGGAGACCGTGTCCAGAGTGGACCTCTGACAGGAGACTGAGCCCAGAGTAGACCTCTTACAGATGAGGGCCCACTCTACAGATGGGAAGACTGAATCCAGGGCACTTCCTTCAGAAACAATAGTCATAGATAAGAGCTTGATTCGCAGGTCATGGCTGCTGGATGCCTGGACCTGGCCTTCCCCAAACGGCACCCTGGACATCCTGGTGAGCTGGCTGGACTGCACCCCTGGCCACCACCAGGGTGTCCACACCCACAAGCTCCCAGGATGGCCTGTGAGGACTGACAGGATGGACACTCATTTGGAGCCTCAGATGTTACTGTCTCGGGCGGCGTGCGCACCACACACCATGAGAAGTCTTGTTTATGTGGAATCTCGGCAGTGCATGATGAGACCGAGAGGTTTCCAGGAAATCCCGCATGAGGTGGACTGTCTTCAGAGGAGTTAGTGCAGGTGCGGAAGCAGCGTGGCTGTGTGTCCTTCCTTCCGCATGGCTGTCCTCCACTCCTCGCTCCTTCAAGCTCGTCACCCACCCACTTCCCCACCTGCCCTCAATCTGCGGCCATCCTGAAATCCGTTCACGTATCTGTCCGTCTCTCTCCCGCCAACCAACCATTTGTCCCTAAGTTCATCATCCTTTCACCATTTCTTTATCATCTGTGTATCTTTTTACCCATGTCCTTCACTTTTTACCCATGTCCTTCACTTGGCCCGAGCTGATGAGGATGGCGGAGGACGGGGTTCAGACCTGCTGTTCACAGGGTGGTATGAGTCAGCCTCCAGCTGGTGGCACCTACCAACAGAGACAGTGGCCTGGGCGCCTGCTCGCGTGGTTCAAACCCACCTCTTCTCTGTAAGAAGAGGGGAATCTTCTGCGTCACGGATAGGGATGCAGCCTGCGAGGGGTCAGCGGTGAGTCTGTTCTGACTTCCTGGCACTCAGCTGCCTTCACCTGTTTATCTTCATCTGATTAGCCGCCCGCCCACCCACCGTCTGTCCAGATGTCTTTTACTTATTCTCTATTCAGGATCACTGCCCACCTGCCCATCAGTCTCTCCACGGCTCTTCCATCCTCCAGCCGTCGGTTCATTTATCTTATCCATTCTTTATTACCTACCATCCGCTTGTTTATCCGTCCACTGTTCAGTATCCATCACTGTCCAGCCAACATCCACGTGACGTCCGTCCTTCCCTCATTCATCACCCTCCCATCCATCCACCCACCCTGCATCACTACTGCCCACCTATTCTCCACCCATGTACACATCCACCCACCCCGCATCCTGGTGATGCCCTCTGCCCCGAGTGACCCCTCCATGGCTCAGGCCTGGCTCAACAGCCTTCACCCCTGACGCGGGGGTTTTCTTCGAGGGTGAGGCTGCTCGCCAGCTCACGGGGACGCAGCCACCTACCTGCACCCATGATGAGGCCTGGGGCAGTGTCCTTGGCGTGCACGGTGCCCGAGACGTAGGGGTTGTCTGCCCAGCGCAGGTGCAGGTGGAGGTGACAGTCCGGCTGCAAGGAGAGGAGGGGGCAGAGTGCTCAGTGCGAGGGTGCCCCTCAGACGACAAGGACAGGCCAAGTTCAATACTGGGGTCTTCCAGGTGGAAAGGAGGGCCACGTGTGACCCAGGGGAGGGGGGGCGTAAAAGGACAAGTGTATCAGGAGAAGGTCAGGTGTGCCCCAGGGAAGAAAGAGGGCAGATGACTGTGGGGAGGAGGGGTAGGAGGAAGGCCTGATGCACTTTAGGAGATGAGGGCAGGGGTGCAGGGAGGGCCAGGTGCGCCCTGATGGAGGGAGGGAGGAGGGAGGGCTAGGGCTCCACATCAGAGGGGAGGGAGGCAGTGGGGGCAGGCTTTCAGGAGGATCTGTCGCCATGTGCTTCCCAGGTAAATGCTCCAGGTGCATGCCACTACAGAGAGAGAGTCAGTGGGGCTTCTCCATGGAAGGGTCTCCAGTGTGGGTGCCCAGGAGGTCATCCTGGGATATGCATATCTAGAGTCTGTTCATTCAGAATCTTTATCGGGGGCTCGGGCTAGGAAGATAGCTGTGAGATCCCACAGAGCCTCCTGTGCTCAGAGACAGAGGTGGGCAGGAACTCATGCCCCCTGGACCCTGGGCATGAGCACCATGGGGTTAGCGACCCGGTCATGACTGGCAGGAGTGACCCCGGTATGAGTGATCCAGGGAGAGTGACCGGGCAGCCCCAGGCGCACCCAGCAGGAGCATCACGGAGAAGCACGGAGACCCTCAGTGGCACCGGCCCTGAGCACGGGGCCCGGGTGACATGGGGCCCACACTCCCTCACATCTCATCAAGGCCTCAGGGGCACCACTCCCACCCTACCCGCTGGTGAGCAGAGAGACGCTGAGATGCCAGTGTGCAGTGAGCCCACTGACCTGGTCCAGCAGGGAGGCCCGTGGGCCTCACCCAGCAGCTCCCTGGAATAGGACCGGGGACTGGAATCTGGTAAGCAGGACACAGGTGCCGGGTGCACTGCCCTGCCTCCTGCTGGTCACGGGCACCCCACTCTCAGCCAGGAGAGCAGCGGCCAGCCCACCCCAGTGCTGGGAATCAGTAAGTCCAAGGGGCTCAGCTCTGTCCTGTGAGTGTGGTCCCCCCAGGCCCCTACCCACAATCTTGCTGTGTTCTGCTGTTGTGCCCACGGTCAGATCAGCACCCCAAGATGAAGGCTGGAGGCTGACGCAGCACTGTGGACACCTGGGCAGGGTCATCTGTGACCCACACATCCCTAGCCCCGGCCTCAGACCCACGAGTCACTTCCTTCCCCTTCCCTCCCTCTGCTGCCCAAGGTGCTGGACCTCAGAGGTCAGTCTAGATGGCTGAGGGGTTCCCACAGCAGAGGAAGGCAGGCAAGGGGCCATCGGAAACCTCTGTGGGCATGTGGGGCCCAGCCTCTTGATGAGCTCTCTGGTTTCCCCAGATGGTGAAAAATGGGGTTCTCAGCCTGGAGTGGGGACATGTGGGGCCACAGAGGGGTATGTAGAAACATGACTAAGTGCTTGGCTGGTGACTGAGAGGTCAGGAGTTCAACCCCATCACCTGCTCCTCAGTAGAAAAGTAACCTGCTCCCACAAAGGTCCCACCCAGCTGAGAGGACCCCACGGGCAGCCCCACTGCCCCAGCGTCAGTATCAGACCACCGCCTCTCCACACTGCAGCAGGGAAGACCAGCACCTCTGCACTGCCTTCCCGCTGAGTGTCAGCACAGCCTCGAGGTCGGGTCTCTGGCCCCCACACAGGCCCAGGAGGATGGATGCAGCCTCTGCAGAGACCAGGTGCCCGACTGAAAGAGTTGTCATGCCCATCGAAGCTGCCATCACGCTGCGAGCTGCCATCTGTTCAGTCCTCAGCTCATGTGACCCCACAGACAGAGGCAACTCCAGCACCTCAGGCCACCCGCGGATCAGACACTGTGGTCAACAGAACTGACAGACAAACGGGCCTTTCCAGCCCCGTAGACTGGAAGCTGCGTCAGAACGACAGACAGGCTTCCCCCGGCGGGTGAGAGGCACCAGCTGTGCAGGGTCTCCCACCCCGAGGCTTAGGAAGATCCTAGGAGCAGACTCAGGGACCCTGGCCTCACCTGGCGAGGGCCGCCCCATGTGCACTCAGTTCGCTGCCATGTAAGATGAGGTGGGCGTGAACACCCCAACTTCAGAAACCCCTGTCCCCAAAAGCTTTTGAATGCCTCCAGCTGAGCCGGGCAGGCTTTGCCCAGGACAATCTCAGGTTACAAATGAAGCCACTTAGTAAATCAGATCTCGATCAAGTCAGAGCTTTGAGGTGCCTGGGGCAGCTGGGGGCTGGGGAGTGGGGAGGTTACCGGGCCGGCGTGGGGGCTGTAAAAACGGGTGCATGGAACTCCACACACGGGGTGGAGAACTCCATCAGATCACAACACACGACGGCCACCAGAACTGTGGGAACTCGATGTCACCGGCCAACTGTGATTCACAGCGAGCCCTGAAGGACAGATCTCTGGGCCGCTCCAGCCCAATGTCACGGTCAAGGTCAATCCTCCTCACTGAGCACACTCCTCTTCATCTCACACTTCACCTTCATCTCACACTTCACCTTCATCTCACACTTCACCTTTCCTAACGTGCTATTTCTTTGCCGCCATGATTGGTTCCTCTGACAACACGTCTGAGTGTGTGAGCCTCCCAGCCTCTAGGGAGCAGCCTGGCTGCGACTCCTCCAGACCTGTTTGGGTTGGGCAGCGTGAGGGACGGTCAGCGCTCTTCTCCAACGCTGTAATTCAAAGGCATCAATTCTTCTTCTGCCATCCGCATTCCCTGTCCTCCTCTCAGATACGTAGCAAGTGACTGAAAAGACGTGAATCTGATGTATCTCAATCCTCAAACTGACAGAGAGGTTGTCGTTACGCTGTTAAGTGTCGTTGAGTCATAGACGACTCAGGTGGTAGATGGTGTTACTTTCTGACGAGAGAAGCGCCCGCCCTGTCCACAGAGGAATACTGTGAAGGTCATTGGGTTGACAGAGGCCAAGCTGGTGGCAGGTGGCCACAAATGGTGCCACCCTGCAGAAGGGCTCTGTCCTGGAACTCCCGGTGGCATGGGGACCTGCTGACCCAGTGAGACAGGACCTCACCTGTCCTGAAGGACAAACCTGACTCCTCAGGACTGAAATGCAGAGAGCTGATCCTACAGGGAGGTTCACCAGGCTCAGTGCTGCCCACCCTGGAAGGGGACCCTCTGAAGCCAGCGTCAGGGGTCCCCAAGCAGAAGGAAGGGAAGGATCTTTCTTGGGGACCCAGCACAGCGTTCCCCCCACAGTGGCTGCCCCACCATCTGCATGGACTGAAGGGTGGTCCAGCATGTCTCTGGCCCCTGGGTTTCCTGATGAGCAAAAGGATCTCAAGCTGCCAGTGTCCACAGCGGGTGTGTGTCTGCAGCCAGGCCTCCACCAAGGCTGAGGACAAGAGGTCACTTTCTGAGCGAGCTGTAGACAGAGCAAAGTCAGAGAACACGGCCTCAATAGTGCCTGCCCCAGGGGTCTGGCCTGCTCACTGGACACTTGTCTGGGCCAAGGCCAGAACCCTCCCAGGCTTTCCTACTGTAATCAGTGATGGCCAAGAGGACATGGTGAGCAGAGGCAGAGCTGGGGTTCCCGAGGAGTCATCAGTGTCTGTGAGGGCAGCAGATACACCTTCCCAGCTTTCTCGGAACTGCTGGGTGGTTCTGTGATGATGGGTGGTCACTGTGGGTGAGCCCATGGTGGCTGGTTCCTTAAAGGGGTGTGGTTCCATGGCTGGTATTTCCATGGTGGGTGGCTCCAGGGTGGGTGGTTCCATAGCGAGAGGTTCCATGGTTGGTAGTTTCATGGTGTTCAATTCCTCAAACCTAATCCTAAGATGATCTTGAAATTCAGATAGAATTGATTCAAGACCTTATCTTGGTTCCTGTGGACTTATTTTCATTTTCTTTGGCCTCAATTTGAACTTGCACATGAGTAAGAGTTGATACCATCGACTTGTTCCAGTTAACAGATGCAGCCTTGGATACACTCACCAGTCTGTGCCAGGGAATTTGGAGGGCGGCTGTCTGGAAGAGGTCCAGATTCCCATCCCAATAAAGGTGGTTCAACTGAATGTGGAAATATCAAACAGTATCATTAATATCACCTGCAAGCAGAATACTGCTGAAGATCATTCAAAAACGGTGAGAACAGTGCATAGACAGGGAACTGACAGAAGGTCATGCAGGATTTAGAAGAGGTCATGGCACCAAGGATATCACTGATGATGTCAGATGGTAGAAAGTAGAAAATACCAGAAGAATGTCTATTTGTGCTTTATTGCCTACGCAAAGGCATTTGACTGTGTGGATCAGAACAAGTAGTAGCTGACACTGAGAAGACTGGGAATCCCAGAACACTTGATTGTGCTCACACAGAGCCTGTACCTGGACCAGGAGGCTGTTGTGCGGACAGAGCAGGGGAACACTGCACAGTTTAAAATTGAGAAGGGATTGTGCCCGGGTTGTATTCTCTCTCCATACGTATTCCATCTACATGTTGAACAAATTATCCAAGAAGATAGACTCTATGAGGAAGAGTGTGGCATCAGGATTAGAGGGAGACTCATCAACAACCTGCGTTATGCAGATGACACAACCTTGCTTGCTGAAAGTGAGGAGAACTTGAAGCACTTTTGCAGAAGATGAAGGAGTGCAGCCATCAGTGTGGATTACCATCTCAATGTCAGGAAAACAAAGATTCCTACCACTGAACCAGAGGCAGTGTCTGATGGATGGAGAGGAGATTGAAATTGTCAACAGCTTTGTCTTGCTTGAATCCACAATTAACACCCCTGATACCAGCAGTCAGGAAATAAGAAGACACATTGCACTAAAAAAATCTGCAGTTAGGGACCTCTCCAAATTATTGAGGAGTAGTGATGTCACTTTGAGAACTAAGGTGAGTCTGATTCAGGCCATGGTCTTTCTGATCACTTGCTATACTCCTGAGAGCCAGTCATAAGGATGACAGGAAAAGAACTGATGCCTCTGAGCTGTGGTGTTGGAGAAGAGCACTGAACATCCCGTGGACGCCAAGAGAACAAACAGCTATGTCTTGGAGACGGTGCAGCCAGAGTGCTGTTTGGAGGCAAGAATGATGAGGCTTTATCTCACGTGCTTTGGCCATGTTGCTGGAGGGCTGTTCCTTGGAGAGGGACATGATGCTGGGAAGGATGGAAGGTAGGGGAAGGAGAGGAAGACCCTCAACCAGGTGGACTGACACAGTGACTGCTGTGATGGGCTCTTGTGTGTCAGAAAGTGAGGATGGCGCAGGACTGAACAGGGTTCAGGTCTTTGGTTTGCAGGGTTGCTGAGTCCTGCCCGACCTGACGGCACCTGACGACCATGTCTCCTGGCTGTCATTTGTCTTCTAGATGCTTCCTGCTCACGAGGCCCTTGCATAAGAGTAACAATGCTTGGGTTTTCAGTCCCTTTATCTCTCCAAAGCAGATGGCCAGCTCTGTCTTCCAAGGAGCCTCTGGATGGCCTCAAGCTGCCCACCTTGCGGTCAGTGGTCAGTATCCAGGCCATTCACCTGAGGGCTTTTTTCCTCCTACTGCTGTTAATCGGTGTTATTTCCGCTCCCAAGTGTGATAAATGATGTTTCTTGAGATAAGACTCTTCAAGTACAGATGTTAATGTGATTCTGATGAATCCATTCTTTCCACTTCATTAGACCTTCTCCAATTAGATAGTTTGAGTATTGAATCTTGATTCAAATAAAAGGTCTGTTATTACTTAAGCCATAATTAAACCCTGACATGCCCTGAAGAGTCATTTGAAACAACTATCTGCACCTATGAGGAGTTCCTGACAGGTGACCTTGATAAATTCCCACGCGGGGAACATGGCAGAAGCGGTGTCGACAGCAGCCCTGACAGCCGGTGCTCTATTAATAGCCCTGTTAATGCAGAAGCCAGCAGAGAGTCAAGGAAGTTAACATTCTGCCGCCCTCCCTCTTGTTCAATAATCCCCTTTGACTCCCGCACTTTGTCTGAGATACATACAGCTTAGCTGTTTAAAAGGCTTCAGAACTGTAAGCGGCCTAAGTGAGAATGAAAAGCATCTTTTTTAAGAAGTGTTCACTGAGGGCTGTGAGGGGCTCCAGTTCAGCGGCCCCCGGGCGACAGGACCACAGCGCGCCTGGTGCTGGACCGTCCTCGCGAAGGGAGCTGGGCCTGCCCACTGCTGCGTTCACTGGGCCAGCCCACCACGTCCAGGGGCTTCCTCTTCATCAGGGACCCTCCTACGTCCTGTTCCAGGGACTGGTCCTTCCTGACCTATCTAAAGTGCACAAGACGAAACCTTTCCAGCCTCACTTCCAAGAGAACCCTGCTTGTATCTAAGACACACTGTCCATTCTTTTGACAGTTGACTGGACAGTCAACATTCTTCACCCTCACCATGATTCAAAGGTGTCAGTTCTTCACCAGACCCCCTAATCCACTGGCTGGCTTTCACGTGCATATGTTGTTGTTGATGGCCTTCGCATCGAGCATGACTCATAGAGACCCTATGAACAAAAGGCCTGAAACCCCTCTACAACTATCAACATTTATCAACGTTCATAGAGTTTCTAGAGGCATGTTGTTTAGGAAGTGGATGCCACTCCTGTTACTATTATTATTATTATTAAACTTTTATTAAGTATAACTGTTGGATTCACCCAATGGAATACTATGCAACACTCAGGAGCAACGATTTCAAAAAATACTACACAACTTGGGAGAGGCTGGAGAGCATTATGCTGAATGAACTAACTCACAGAAGGATAACTAGTAAAACACGTATGGGAGCACAAGGAGGGGAGTGGAAAGGGGAGGACGGATGGAGGTCTCTTTTCTCTTGTTGTGTGTCATCGAATCAGACCCAACTGGCACAGGAGGAGATTGCCCCTCCTTCTCCAGCGGAGCATCTGGTGGGCTCAAACCACGTGCCCTTGGAATTGCAGCGCAGCTTCTTGCCACTAGGCCACCAGAGCTCACATAAAAAGATCTTTTACAAGCAGATTTTCCCAGCACAATCCAGACATGATTTCTCGACTACTGGTTCAATGGGCTAATTGACAATCCAAAAAAAAAGTAACTCCTTGGCAATGCCCATCTTTTCTCTGTCATCAAGTTGTCATTGGTCCAGTTTTGAGGATTTCTGTTTACTTAGCACCCCGCCTTCGCCCTCAAGGATGCCACCCTCCTCGGAAATCCTTCTGGGCTCCCAGTTCCGCCAGCTGGACCCTCTAAACCAGGGCTCCATCACCATCCTGTCACACACCGTCAGCCAGCGGGCTGGAGCCCACCATTGGCGCAGAGCCCACTTCTCCGGTCTCTGCGTGGCCTCTCCCCCATAGCCCCTTGGCAAGCTGAACTGCTGACCTGTGGCCAGGAGCTGGGGTAGCACCTTCCTCACTCTATACCTACTGCCCAGGGTCTGTGGTTAGCAAGGGTCACTCACATGTTCTCGGCCGGCGGGTGTCTCGGAGAGGAAAGCTCTGTCATCCCTGGGCCCGTCCCTGGCTCAGCGGTAAATGTGCCTTTTTTGCCCAGCTGGGTTTCCCAGGGCTCTGTGCTCTGCTCTATCAGGCCAGTGTCCGCCTGGGGCACACGCTTGCCAGCGGCTCGTAGTTTTATTATTTTCGTTCTAGGACATAATCCTCACAAGGGCTACACCTGCACTGAGCCCCGTAATTGCAAACAAGGCTCTATTCTGGGCCAAATCATCACTTGGACAGCTAAGCATGGCTTAACTTAGCTGGTGAAGAGACACGATTCACCCTCACAGTGCAACTCTGCTCGGGGCCCACAAACAGCAGGCTTCTGCAGGAAGCCCGCACGGTCTGTCCTGTGTCCCCTGCCCAAGGGGGTTCACGGAGCAGCTGACTGGAAGCCCTCTCAGAGGGTGACCAGGGGCTGTGCTGTTGTGGAGGGATAGCCTCCCCTGCTGGGAAGGAAGAAGAAGAGACTCCATGATGGTCATTGCTGGACAACAGCTCCGTGACCACGGCTGGGGGGCACTGTTTTCTGAGCATCTGCACTGTCCTTTGTCGGTGAAGAGGGGGATTCCCCCACCTCCCTCCATCCTGCAGTGAAGGCTCAGAGGTGATGGCCACTGAGTCCTGTCTTAGTCAGGGTTTGAGGGTGAACGAGCAAGAAATTCTGCTGGACCCTGCAACCAGTTCTGGGAAGGCTCCGTGGTGCACACGGCAATGAGCAGTCCAGGGGATGCAAGGAGAGGCCTTGGAGAGGCAGGTCTTCCTGGGGCTCAGTCAGACCTTGGGGTCCCTCCCCTGTCCATCTCTGTTCCCTGATCCACTATGGTCCTGTGCTGTGTCCTACTCGCCCCACTGAGCCCACTGTCCACTCCCAGCACAGTGTGCTTCCACCTCCCTGGTCCTGCTCTCCCCTCAGTCAGAGGATGCGACAGGCAGCTGAGTGGTCTGTGCTGCGGCCATGGCCAGAGCTGGGCTGGCCAGGAGGGGGTGCCTGCTGAGCAAGGAACGCTGACCAGAAAAGGGTACCAGCCAAGGAAAGGGCATCAACCAGGAAGGAGTGCTGAAAGGAAGAGATGCCACCAGGCAGAGAACCGGGGAGCAGGCCCCGTGAGCTGACTCAGGGCCGTGCTGGGCCTGTTGACCGACAGCTGTCCACCCAGGGGCCAGTGAGCTCGTGAGCACACAGCCACAGCTCACTGCTCTGTGCACAGCCTGTCACCTCGGACATGCTCCACCTGTGCTTCCCCGTGGGTGCCCCTCCTCTGGGCCAGTTTGTCCAAGACAGTTACACAGTCCTGTCTCTCACCCCCTAACCTGGCCCCACAGTGCAGGGGTGCAGTGCACATTTCCCCTCCTGTGTCCCGCCCTTTACCCCCAACCCTAATCTGACCCCATGGTGTAGGGGTGCAGCTCCCACCTCTCCTCCCCTGTCCCGTCCCTCACCCCCTAATACTAACCCGACCCACAGTGTAGGGGTGCAGAGCCACCTCTCCTCCTCTGTCCCATCCTTCACCCCGTAGTCTGGCCCCACAGTGTAGGGGTACAGCAGCCACCTCCCCTCCGCTGCCCCCTCCCTCACCCCCTCACTCAGCCCTGCCCCACAGTGCAGGGGTACAGCCCCTGCCCCCCCATCCCTCACCCCCTCACTCAGCCCCGCCTCCAGCACAGGCCGGTTACACACTCACAGGCTCACAGTTGGTGGCCTTCCCGTTCATGTCCCTGCTGGGCGGCCTCAGGTGGCCCCAGTCTCGGCCCTGGTTGTAGGTGATGAGTGTCATCACCTTCCCGTCCAGTTTTCTGTTTGCCAAAAAGACGCCTTTCACCCCTCTGACCTGGAAGAGAGAAGGAATTGTGAAGAGGTACGAGGGCCACCACCCCTGAAGTGCTAGCCGGGCACCAGTCACAGGCCCCCAGGCCCAGGGCCAGTGCTGCTGTGTTTGCAGAGGCCAGGCA